AAAGACTCTCCACGCTCAGTAATTCGAATACCAAGTCGATCATAAATTTGCTCAAATTCTATTTAGATTTTAATTTAGTACATTGATGCAAAGTGCCATACCTTTTCGAGAAACGTCACAAATAAGACTCCAACCTTTTCGAACTTCAGGATCACCTTGCTGGAGGCCTACAACATCAGCATATGCTCTCTTTTTAAAATCAGGATCATCATCAAAACGCTTTTTCGATTCCTAATAATGCAATCAAAATTTAAAGCATTAAAACCAGCTATAAACATTAAATCCATACCTTATAAAAGGAATGCAGGTCACCAATTGGTGGAGATACAGTTGTATAATTGGGGAACTTGTCCTTCAAATGAGCTATGAGCATGCCAAATTGAGTACCCCAATCACCAATGTGATTCAACCTGCAATCATTGGTTTAATAACTGTCAACTAGTTAAATTATACCTGACAACGTCATGACCAACAAACTCCAGCAGACGACAAATGCACTCTCCAATGATGGTTGAGCGAAGATGTCCCACATGCATTTCTTTGGCAACGTTAGGAGAGGAAAAGTCAACAACAACTCGAAGACTTTTTGCAATTACTGGAGGCTGAACGCCATGCTTCAGATTATTAGAAATAACTTCAGAAATAAAAGATGACTTCAAGTAGATATTAACGAACCCAGGACCAGCCACTTCGCACTAATAATAAAACGTATACAAATGCATGTACTGTGATGCACATGCCATTCACACTTATTTATTCAATGAAATACTGAAAATTTATTTATGCTAACTTTTTCAATCAATGGAGATGAGCTCATATTCTCTATAATTTTTCTTGCTATGTCTTTTGGGTTGGATGCAGATTCTTTGTCTCGATTTTTTAACCCCTATTGTTCAATAAATAGATCTACTTATTGCAAAAATTTACACAGGCTCCATTACTTTGGCAATAGGCATGGCAATGGTTGATTTGTAATCTCCAAATTTTAAATTACCAGAGAGCTGGAGTATAGATTTGTTTGATTCCGGAATAAACCAAGGGTAGACCTTGTTTACAGCGGACCTAATTATCACAGATATGCTTCCAAATATATCACGAACAACAGGAATCTATAAGGCAACAAAGAATGATGCAGATAATGGGGAAAGAAAAGAATTATTTCTACTTGTCCTGCCATGTCTGAAGTCACCACCCGATGAAGATAAGGAAATAATATACCCAGCACCACCCAATTTCCCGTAGACTCGACTCTGCAGATGCTGCACTTTTCCACTATAAATATTTTTATCTGATGTGTCCGTCATCGTTCATTCTGCGGCGCGGAGATTATGGAGCAGGAACAAAAAAACTCAGCGGATCTGATGACTGATCTCCCTCATGATTTTGTCGCAGGATCAGTTGCAGGTATTATACGGACTGTATGGCATTCATTAGTTCATCACTGCATGCACATATAGGAGCTGCGAGCATGATTCCATCTCATCCTTTAGATCTCGTTAAGGTATTTATACTAAAGTACTTAAAATATAAACTATACCCTTTTAGGTACGACAACAGACACTGAAACTCAAGGGTGCTGGCATTACCTCTTTTTGTGAGATAGCTAAAAAAGAAGAGGTAAATATAGTTTTTGTGATGCCAGGCTACTAACGGACCTCTTGTTGTATACAGTTCATAAAAGGGCTTTACAAAGGAATGAGTTTTCCTATAGTTGGACAAGCTATAATCAATTCAATAGTTTTTATGACACAAGGATTTACAGAGAAGCTTTTAAAGAAAAGCAAAATGAAGGATGCTGGTGCTCAATTCTTATCTGGAGGATTTGGGGGAGCAGTACAATCACTGGTCTGCAGTCCAATGGAGCTAGTAAAAATACAAATGCAATTAAAGGATGTTGGTGTGGTAAGAAGTGCTGATTACAGAAGGTCAACGATGGAGTTCAAAAATATCAAGCGGCAAGGTGGCATTATGTGGGGTGTATACCGTGGCTTTTGGATTACTACAGTGCGGGATACTACTGGTTTTGCCTTTTACTTTTGCTCATATCATACGATAAGAGTACAAGTTTTGAATACTTTTTATCAAGAGGAAAAAGAAAGTGGCGAAATGACAATTGAAAAACTACCATGGCAAATTCTCGGCCTTGCTGGGGGGACAGCCGGCTGCATATCCTGGGCTGTAAATTACCCAGTTGATGTTTTCAAGACGCTTATACAAGAAGATGCCTTAAAAGAAATGCTAGCTAAGGAAAAGGGAGAGCTATACCATAAGGAATATACTGGAGCATACGATTGTGCCAAAAAAGTCCTTGCTCGAGATGGAATAAAAGGCTATTATCGTGGGATGATATTTTCCCTAATAAGAGCTTTTGCTAATAGCGCTGTGTTATTGCCAATACATACAACACTTTTTAACTATTTGAAGAACTAACTGCTGATTTAAACTATGCTTAGTAATTAAACCTAGCTTATAGTAACCTAGCTTATAGTTTTAGCTTGTATAATATTAGTACCCCAATTCCTTTTATTGTGTGCTTATTATAATTATTACTAATAAATTTGAGTAACCTATAGAAGCAATAGCATATATCCTAGTCTGGCCCCGCCTCTTTGTTGCACGTACAAGACTAGCCACATCCTAAATATTGCTAAAAAATCTAACATATAAAATTCTGTCAAAGCAGTACTAGACTCATCAGTAACTAGAATTCACAATATACTTCTGCAGTCATGCCACTAGCATATTAACACAGAGATGCATATCATTATACAAGGTGACTTATTGGCAGGAGTAACATTTGTTTCAGATAAGCAGTTGGCCTGTGATTTTGTTGTCATTTTTGTTCTTGAGCATGTTCAAAATGACAAAGTTATACTGGCTAAACTGCCAATTGCCAATATTCACAAAATCATATTTTGGAGGGGGAAATTTTGGTAAATTTGCTGAAATTAAACCCACAATTTTGTATCTTTATGCACTAATGCACATACTCAATGGCACATGGACACAAATAATTCCCCTCCCCAGCCAGAT